TGATTTTCGGGTAGCATCTTTGTTGGCGGGCTTACAAAATCTAACTAAAACGAGAATCGAAGCCCAGCATCCACCAAGCGTGTCGCTTGTTTGGTGAATGAGCCCTAAGCGAGAAGGCCACCGATTCTGACATTCACAAGAAACTTTTGTTCAAGCGATGAAGCTCACTTTGTGCGTGCTCGATGGGCAGGGGTATCATTGGTCCATATTTCCCCAAAAATTAAGCCGATCATAATGTTACAGTCAATGGGGAACGCTATAGGGTCGTGCTTAATAACTTTTTCGTGCCTGAAGCGGATAATGTTGATGTGGACGATCTTTGATTCCCCTACAGGAAGGCGCCATATGCCATACGACCAACGAAACAAACAGTTTATTGGCGCAAAATTTTTAGTGAACCAATTACGCGCGTCATAAGTAAGTCGCGTAACATCCAAGCTTGAGCTCGCTTGTCTACGCATATAAGCACGAGACGATTGACGCTCCGCACGTTATTGACCAACGGTTCCATTCGCTGAAAAAAGCGGCCGAAAATCAGGTTTATCGGCTAAAAAAAAAAATATCCAAATTTTCCTTCGATGTCCTTGCGCATGATCTTATCGATTCTTAATGTCCTCTTTAAAGTCATTTTATCTCACTCTGATTTGCCTGTCAGTCCTTACGGAAATTTCATTGTTCATCAGTTTTGGGGGCTTGAAAATATCTTATATTGTTTCGGTGTCCAGTACCTCAACTATACGGCCTGGAACCCAGTATATACATATGCAGCCGCTTTCCTGCAGCCACCACATCTACCGTCTCCCTGCTTCGGTGGACATTTTCTGACGCATTACAAACAGTTGTATAAGAGCCATATGTTCTTGTCGTCCGAATCCATATTTCTTATATTCGCTTAATTTCATTATATTTTTCTCTTTTGAGGTCTTTCGCTTCCTCTGTTTCCCCAGACGCTTACTGCATCGAATACTTTCAGAGTTCTCAGAGTTTCTGTTATTGTCCTATAGGCCATCCTAATTTAGCCAACGGAACTGCCGTCTTTTGACTCACTAAACTATATATGTCTATATTGTCGGATAACTCGTATATGTCGAGTGATCGAAACAGCCTCGACAGTGGCTTTTCGTAACACATTACATTCGTATTCCCAGGAACCCAAGTGATGTCTATGTGATCTTAATTGTTCATTTCAGCACAGCAGATGCTCATGTGGAGCATAGAAGTGTCTACAAAAAGGTTCAAAGGGAGACAACAAAATGTTCTTGAAAGGATTCCTGCAGAGACTAAGCGATTGTATAGACCCAAACCTATACCCATAACCAAGTTTTCTTCCAAGGCTGGTTGGTCTATGTGCAATATCAAGTGATGAAATCATAGATTTAGTATTTAGGCAAACTCGGAGTTACCGCCAAGCTTTTACCATACGGACAAAGCAATAAATTTGTTCCAATAGAAGGTCTGAGCCGTAAAGTTCAAACCATCAGTACCCATAAAAGACTGGAAAGATCATGCACAGTAGTCAAAGGAACTCAAGAGAGCGTCGTGTAGCAGCATTTTTTGGGATTAACTTTTTGGAGACTCGTATTCTATAAGCAGAAAGTCATGTTACAGAACAGATATTACAGAATTCGAGTACCACGACATTGAAGTTCAAGATAAAGTATGTAAAACAGATACTGGCGGCATCTATAGTTGAGCTTTGCATACTAACATTCGGAAGGCAAGAGTTACAGTGCTGATTTGACCAAAAATGCAAATTTATAGACAATACATTTTTCTTACAGCAATCGCCCAAAAGGCAAGAAATGTTAAGCTTTACGAGCGTTTTTCGGACAGGAAATAAAAGCTCTGCAGAAAAAACAGCGGCCGTGAGCTGTCGGCTTAAAACAAACTTTAAGCCCCTGCTTTTGTTGGAAAAACCTCCAAATGCACAGCACAAATTCAAGGAAGAGCTCAGCCGGAAATCACTACAGCAGTTGGAAAGTGCCAAAAGAGAAAATTATAACCTTAAAACACTGTGCAGACAGAGTTGGACAAATGGAAACTATTAAAATTCGCCATAAAAGTTCACAAAACTTTCCAACGGCAAAGAGCATTTAGGTCAATTTTGAACACAGTAATAAAGACTGTTGATGCTTTGAAAATTCTCTAGCACGTACTTGATGCTTATACGAGTATATATGTATGTATGTATATGTATATGTATGTAGCCAAACGCCTACGCAACCATCGACCTAAAATATAACAAGTGCGCTTGTGACGAGTTCGCTGTTAGCAGAAGTACTTTAGCATGGCGATGGCGTTGTGGAAGTATACACGTATATACATATATGCCATGAATGCTTGTGCTAAAGACCTCGACAAATGAACCTAACGACAAGGATTATATATCGAGGACGAGCTGAAATTTAGCTTAGAAATTTACCTCATACCACCAACTGGACTGACAAGAGATCTACCGTTTTTTTTCTTTTGGTGAGGGATGAGTTTTTGTTTTCTACTCACAAATAGCAGTACTTTCATCTATGAGTGGGGTTGCTGAGGAGAGGTTGGTTGAAAATAAACAAGCAAAAAAGTGCAGCCAATCAGCAGAGGCGGTGTTCTTTTATGCCTTTATGCAGTGTTGAAGAATTGATGAGATTTTATTTCTCAGCTATGTAGTCGTACTCTTCTAACACCCAGCAAGGCATGGCGCGCTCGCTTTGAGGGCTGAATATTTATTTGTTATGTTACGCAGCTGAGTTGGGGTCACTCATGGCATAGCATGCAGCGTTAGCTCGTAACGGTATTAAAAAGTTAAACAAAAAAAAAAATGCTTATATCGACCTCTTCATACATACATACTTACATACATACATACCTCTATATACTTACTTAAATATTTCCACACAAGTGGGTGAGCGCTCACATCCCTGGCCATTTATTTAGTACATAAATAAATAATTACATGATGGCTTCTCTGCACACGCAGTACCACGATTCAAGTATGTGCATATGTATGTATGTATGTACGTATGCATGTGATAGATAGATATTTTGTCGTTTTAGCATTTTATGTGGTTAGTTTCAGTTCATTTAATAATTGAGTATTTACCTACCATAAGTCGTTGTCATTGGAGCATAGCCACATACACACATACATACATACATACATATATATGTATGTATTGTGGAAATCAAAATGCATTTGTATATATTTTAGCTTTAGAGATGTTACGAGTCGGAGTATAGAGTCGGGATTTCAGGCTATAGAAAATAAATTATTTTAGCGAGAGCGAGTTGTAGGGGCTTAACGGCTTGCCAGACTATTAAAACTTTATGCTCAAGCGGTCTCGTAGGGACTGCAGGTATGTTATATGCCTAGTGACAGACCACCACCCAATGGAGTGTAGGCAGACAGACAAGAGAAAGAGAGAGAGAGCGAGAGAGAGAGAAAGAGAGAGAGAGAGAGATCGAGAGAGAATGAGAAAGAGCGAGAGAGAGAGAAAGCGAGAGAGAGAGAGAGAGCGAGAGAGAGAGAGAGCGAGAGAGAGAGAGAGATAGATGATGGAACTCCTCCTCCGTTTCTGTCTGGTCTGATGTAGCGCACGTCTTAGGCATCTAGATGTCTTTTAAACTCCACAACCAAGTCAACTATGACGATTACTTCAACTAGAACTTAATCTCCAACTGACCCCAAGAAGCTTATTGTACGTGTACGGCATAGCTGCGAGCTTCTCCACTGATTTGTACTGTGGCTCTTGATGTTTTCATGTCAGTAATTATACCCTCGAGACTATTGAGATCCCCTGCTGATTGATGTGGTCCTGCACGGGCCTTGCACACATGGTCCTCGGACTCAATATACGCACTGTAATCTATTACGCGCTTTACAGTCGCTGAAGCAATTTTCGGCCGGGGATATTTCTCCAATTTGTGTTGTGCAACTTAATTTTTTCCCAACAAATTGAGGAACCTACAGTTTAATCTAAGCTAGCTACGAACGGCTACTGATGGATTTGTAAGTGGAGCTTTTGAATTTATTTCAAAAACACATTCGGAGGGATCTACATTCGCTGTCGGATGGCAGACGCAATTGGAAAAGTACATTTTTTTCTTTTTGTAAATTCAGAGCTTGCACTCATGGTCATCCTTCTGGTAGTATGCACTGTAATCCACAGGAAAATGGAGGCACCGGTAACTACTACAGCCTTTCGCAACAAGAAGATGCCACCAGACCACCTAACCGCATGTTAGGTTTGAAGTGATTGGTTGATTCCCATCGTCCTTCATAACGAGAGAAGAGCTTATGGTATGAGCAGCTATTCGGCAAATTTGCACAAATTTAAGATGAGTTTAATCAATTAATCTCGACAGAAAGATATAACGAATAAGTGAATCCTGAGCACTTGATTCGGCCAATTTTTATTATGGTTGCCCCTCTGAAGGGAGTTTTAAGCTCTCCGTATGCATTTCTGACATGAAAAGTTCCTAATAAAAAAACCCGGCGGCCATTCGGAGGCGTTGGAAAAATATCAAGACGCACACAATAAATTGAAAGAAGAACTCGGTCGAAATTCTCTTCTGCGATTACAAAGCGTCAATTAATAATTACTTATCCTGAGGCCTGCTTGCCTATCGAAGACAGTTATAGAGCTCCTTATAGAAATTTCTGCTCCGATAAGTTGAGTCAACTACATCAATGACCTTTCCAAGTTCCATCAATTGTTTTCCAAGAGAGCCTTCACCGCCCTTCACAACAAGGTTAGATCTACGGTTAGGTTAGACCCCGCCCGATACTATCATTTAAGAGATTTCACCGATTTAAGCTTTTGCTTAAATGCCATCGCTGTAGAGTCAATGTATTGTTAATTTCGACATTTGAGCTGTACTTTAGGGCTAGGCTTCAGCGTTTGCAGTCAAATAAATTTAATTTTTGCTTTTCGGGATCCCGAAATAATACAAGCTAAATATGAGCAGAAAAGAATATACAAATTTTCATATATATATGTAAATATATTTACCCTTGTATTAGACAAATTCTACTATCGCTGTCACTGCTCTGGCTAGCAACGAAGCTTTTAATATCCCTGGCGTGCCTTTGTGGGATTAATATTTAAATTAATTAAACTGTAAGGCTGCAAAGTTCATCTACGAGCAATGCCCATACCATCGCTTGATAACTGATTTCATTATGTTTGCATTTTCTACAGTCTCCGGCAACCATTCCTTTGTTTTACCTGACGCTTAAACGAACTTTACTGCGTTGCATTTAATTTTATTTTCTGTCCGTTGGAACCTCATCCAATCTTGGTCGGTGGCATTGTGTGCGGCTGTCTTCTGTCCTCATGTCAAGTGCTAGCTTGGCCCAGCATTGGAGTACCACTTCTTCATTATATTTAATTTTATCCTTCCCTCCATCCCTTCATTCTTCCTTCCCACCTTTGGGTCATCAACAAAACGTTCATTGTTCGTTTGTGACATGAAACGTGCGAAAGAGCTGTAAATTTCATAATGATTGAATTAATGAAAATGCAAGAGAGTTTTTTGTGTATGTGTGAGTTGGAGTTGAAGAAAAAGTTTTCCTTTGTATGCACCCGTAAAGAGAAATATTTGGGTATTCAAGAATGTAGCTTCCTTTGAAGTGTTCGCGCTGCGGTGTAAAAATCCGACTTGAGGTTTTAATGCTAGGTAACGCAAACTAGGGATCTTTGGTAAGTCAATCGGAGCAATCATGTTCAATGAGAAGATCTTCCAAAAAAAATCTTTGGCTGATCGACTTTGCCTGGGTCCGACGTGTGATTGTCCAGCATACGAAAATTCATACAAATGAAAGTGCAACAAGGCTCTCACCGAATCGGAAGTCTCACAACCAACTACACTATCTATTCCTGATGTAAGGAATACACACAAGCCTCCTTGAAGCGCAGAAGGCGGGTCGAGAAGCAGAAGTAAGATTATTCCATGAATTCCCTTCGGAAAACGCCCATTCAGAACTTCCACTATGTACCGGAGTTTCTTTCTTTCACGCATATTGAAGTGCTGGATCAGTGCTCGCTTGCTGAATTGGTTTAGGGTCAACCTGACCGGAAGCACACCTTATGTTTGCCCGAAATTCCGCTTCGATTCCGTACTATATGAATTTTATTCTGAAAAAAGTCGACGCCACAGATAGTGAGCATTCCAAAGTCGTAAAAGCCGGTTTTTTGTCTGAGCAAAAGTTAGTCTGTCTCACAGAAACTACCCCTTAAGGCAGTGTAACCATCACTTCCCTGACAGCACCAAGCTCAACATAAAAAACACTGCAAGGTTCCGTAAGTCAAAGAGCACAGGCCCGGCTATTAGCCATCTTTTTCACATTGAGCAGCCATACTGTGGCTTGATCTCAAAAATTACTCTGAGAAACTCCAACTACTTAATATAGCTGCTTTTGTAGTGTTGTTGTTGTTGTAGCGGTTCGCTAACCCCGCTTAGGTACAGGTTGATTAATCTAAGTAGCTGAGGTCTGCTAATAGGAGGTTCAGAAAACAAACTATTTCGGCGGGATTGAACCAAAAGGAGAGGGGGGTTAGATGAGTCGGTTTAAGTGGGCGTGTGAAGAGGTGGTTAGTGTTGTGCGAAGACTCTCCATATGCAGGGCATACGTTGGATATGCTGGGGTCGAGTGTGGATAAGTAGGAGTTTAACCTGCTACAGTATCCAGAACTAACTTGTGCCAAGGTCGCGCAGTTCTCTCGAGGCAGCTCGAGCTCGTTGTCTGGTATGGGTGGTGATTTTACTTCGAGCAAACCACTCACTGGAAGGGAGTCTTTGAAGGTGTTGACTGACTCCTAGTGAATGGCGTTGAGTGCTTGTCGGTACGCCATCCTGTCCAGCGATTGTTGCACATGTTGCTGGATTGTGGCCTTTAAATCTAGTACTCTCTTTCTGATGTGCCTAGGTGGAGGTTCAGCTCCTATTGGGGTACTCTCTGCGGTAACATTCCAATAGGAACTGCTTTCACAGCAAAGCATTATGCTGCTTAACGAGTAGCATAGATACTTCGCTTGTCTAGTGATGCTCCGTCGACATCAGGTGGGTTCCTGTCACTTTTGTAGTACTTACACTCGGTTCAGCTTCAGAGTCTTCCTTAAAAGAAACCTGCATCTTCTAGCAAAGAATACTATATCCATTTGAACTACATTAATATCCAAGTTGGATAGAGTTGCCCATCCTTATATGGACCCTAAAGTCTTCTTCATTCATTACTAATATTACAAGTTGCCCACCATCTACGTACTACTATAAAGAGCGTAGACACGGAGGGATGAGAGGTTTTGCGGAAGATGTATGATCTTTTGCGCATTGCTAATGACAGAGTTCAGCGTATTAAGAGACAGCGGATACATAGGTTAGGTCATGTGGTCCGATTGGATGAACATACCACAGCTTAGTAATTGATTCATACAGTACGCACTGGTGACAGTTGAGAAAGAGAAAGTCCTCCACTCCGGTTGAAAGATCAGTTGAAGAGAAACCCGACTTCACTTTATGTCTTCAAAGGACGCCGCGACAAGTCTGGACAAGAGATGAACTCCACAAAACACACGCCAGAGTAAGCTAGCTGGTTGTTTCAAGAGATGCTGCTTTGCCGTTGAAAAACAAAAAACGGGAAGAAAATGTGATATCATTAGTAGGACATAGATATTATATATATGTATATACGTTTTCTGGAAGTAAAGCTCATCCAATGGAACATTTTTGGGCCAAAATTGTGTGGAGACTCCACACTGTCGATAGCCAAACTAGCTGACTGTGCAAGCCTTGAGGATCAACCAGGTTAGTCAATTGAATGATTTGGTTAGCTCGGTCAAGGTTACACTGGCGGACTGATGCGCCTTAAATAGACGCGTTGGTTCTCTACAGTTGAAGGTGCAATTTTGAAGACTCCTCTGTAGTTCTTTGTAGTGCGAAGCTCTGAGATATATCAGTCGAGTTCTAGCTGAGGCCGATCACAGAGAGGGTGCTCTCTCACTCAATGCCTTTCATTAAAATAATGGACATGGGTTGCTCGACGGTTGCGAACCATCATTAGCCCAGCACGTCTATCCTGCAGTCCTTCAGTTCAAACGTGACCTTGTAAGCTAGATATAGGTGTTGGTCTTGCTATTATTACACATGAGCTTGGTAGTTTTGCATGCCACTAGTGCGCCACACTTCTCTTCTAACCGACTTCCAGCTCTTTCGAAAGTTTCATTGGCACTTTTGGCAATCTCTTCAGCTATTTCCTAATCCATAAGCCGTTTTTAATCCATCAGTTTTCCACCGACCGGTCGCATGCTCTTGAACCATCTGCCATCCTTAAAGGTAGCTTGGAGCTTCATTTCTCAGATTAAGTGTGGGTGTATCGGGCCCATTCTTTCATCCATCCGTATAATTAATTTTTATAGAAAATGCGCTTTTTTCGTGCGTTGCCACACGCGTGATTTCATGAATAAAAAACATATGTAAATATATGTATGTATGTATGTATGTATGCATGTATGTATGTATATACACGTAGACACGCATTCAACTCGAAACCAAACACTTAAGCCTATTTAGTATGTTTATTAGTCGTAATTGTTGCTTTCTGTGGTTTCCGGCGCATTTTCATTGCGTAGATTTTGGTGTTCGGCTCAACTTTCACGATTGGGCAACCACCTAACGGTGTGCACCTTTGTCCAATTAGTGTACTTTGTGTCAGCTTAAAGCGTTTTTTACGATTACCCTCATCTCACGGCATCATTTGTAGTGCACACACATAAACACACACACCCACACTCGCGTTCATACACATACAAGTAAGCATACGTGTATGCTGACAAGAGTTTTCTGGGAATTTTCGGAAATATGTTGGCATTTCGCATGAAACTTTTGTAACAAATTTTTCTTATGCTCCAATATTGTTGCTGTTGTTGCTGTTGTTGTTGTTGTTTGTAAAAAGCGTGTCAGCGCTCAAATTACACCTTTTATCCCTCTTTGTGCATATCCTTTTTTATTATTGAAATTCTAAATTAGTGGATTTGAGTTTGAGTGCCATGATGTACACCGGGATGTGGCGCATTCAGACGCTGAGGCGACGGCGGCAGTCGGTCGCTTACGTGTATGAAGCGTGTGGCAGCTCATTTAGTTTGATTCTCTGGAAATTAACTTTTTGTTATCTCATTTCAAGGCAATTCACCGTTTTAGAAGCGTCGGTGTTTGTAACCCCTGAACTTCCTGTTTACACAGCGTATATATGTATGTATGTATGTATGTATGTATTGTTTGCATCCTCTTATTGCCAGCAAAATGGTTTAGCTTTCAGTTCTTAGCGACATTTAATTTTTGACATATTGTTGCTGCTGTTTTGTTGTTCATTCTTCCTTGCTGTTATTTGCAAATAACCCAAAATAAAAGATACTACTTCTGAACTAGTACTTAAAGAACCATTTTGCTTAACAATTGTTTCTTCTCCTTTCTTGTCGATTGTTTAAGCTTCTGTTTATAGTTAATCTGTAAAAAAAGAGGAAAACTAGTTTTTAATAACACTAGTTCGGAACTAGTGCTTAAAGTACCAAATTTGCTTTAGATTTATTGTTCATATTCCTTGCGTTGATTTTTTTTAGGTTTTGTTTTAATTAACCTTTAGCAAAATATGAAACTAGTATTTAAAAATACTAGTTCTAGACTAGTACTTAAAGAACCATGTTTGTTTGCAATTTGTTAATCATTCTCCTTGCTATTAATTTTTATAGCTGCTCTTATTAAGTTATTTGGAGTAAAAAGCTATACTTTTTTCGAAAAAGTCTAGTCCCACACTAGTATTTAAAGAACTAGTAGGCTATTTGTTAGCAAACAGGCTGAACCGCATTTTTCTTCTTCTTCAATAAGGCGGTATACACTGCTAACGCGGTTATATTTGCTCTTTGTGTATCGGATACACCAACTGAGGCCAGGTGCTTTTCTATCTAAACTTTTTAACGAACTGGTAGCCTGCCAGTACCTCTTTTTCCACTACCTCTGTGAGTACTACGTCGAATGTCTTGGAAGTGCAAGCCGATCTGGACAACATAATCTAGACAACTGGTCCACTGTCTCTATATTCGCCCAACTATGTCAATGTCGACTTAGAGTTTGCAGGTTTCTGCGATATTCGACGTCAGTATTACGCAGAGGCTCCTGAGTTTTTTTTTACCAATTCATCGGATCAATTACCGACCAGAGCACTTAGAATAACTAAGTTCAAAGTTTTCTGTACCGAATCAACAGATGTCGCCATCGCCAAAGCCTCAGCATTTTATATAGCAAGACTGAAAT